TTCTTTCCCTCTTTCTTTCTTTCCCTCTTTCTTTCCCTCTTTCTTTCTTTCTTTCCCTCTTTCTTTCTTTCCCTCTTTCTTTCTTTTTTCTTTCTTTCCCTCTTTCTTTTTTTTTTTTCTTTTTTGGTACCTAATGAACCTCAACCAAGTAAAAGTTTGTTTCTGACATTGAGTTCCATCCATCATTTGGTTTGGTAAACACAGAACAGGCAGCCTGGGGCGTGTCATGACATTACACAGGATATATTTCAAGGAGTTCTACAAGGCTGTACCACGTACAGCTGAGAAGCTGTACTCTTATCATCACAAGTGAAGCTGATAAGGTAAGCATTTCTTTTGGTTATGATTGATGTTCTAAACTTTTTTTTTTAATCATCATAAAACTTACAAAAATGTTGATGGAATTTCATGTTTGTGGTTTGTGATCAAGAACAGTCAAGAAACAAACGATTAAAGGATGACTTGTTAAAAAATCTATTCTCACCTTCACATGTGTGTTCTGCATTACTGTACTGTTTCACAGCCTGCCAGGTATGAAGTCAAAGTATTTGTATGAAGTAAAGCTTAGTAAATCACAGATGTGATTCAATTAAGAGAGAGATGGAACACATGAATGTACTGATTCCACACAATGAAACATCTGGCAGAATATCTTGGATTTCCCCTGCACTTGGAAAATTCTGCCCTAGGAAGATTCTCTCTGCTTGTGACAAAATGGGAAGATACGAACAGTATAAACACCTTACTGCTGCACTTGGCTTTACAGCACTGTTGTCTATTCTATGTTGTCTTCTTTACTAAAGAGGTTTTTTTTCCTTCACTGTTAGATAAAATGCTACGTGCTGAAACTTCAGGGAAAATTTCACAAGAATGGCAGAAAAAAAGGCAGAAAAAAATGTTTAAATACTGAAGATGTGAAGTATCTGCAAATGAAACAAGACTAAACAATTGCTGTTTTATTAAAAGGTGGATTTTATGAAAAAGGTGCCAATAAAATTAAAGAACAATTTTTGAAAAGTGAGGTATAATTAAGTCAACCCAGAATGGAACATGTACTAATTAATAGACATTTGTCATAAAGCAGATGAGTTTGGTAAATCATTATGTCTTTCTATCACTGTGCTTCCATTCCCCTAATCTATTTTTAAGAAGAAAGTAATGATGAGGTTTGAGACCTCTGATAAAGTGGTTGGTATAAGAATCCAGCTTCCATTGACATGCAGGTAGAGTAAATCCAGTAAAAACTCGTGGCATTTTTCCACACCTACCGACTTTATATTGTCAGTAACTGCTGTTTGGATCACAGAGGGCTGATCTATTAACAGGCCTTAAAAGTGATGTTAAAAACTATAGTAAAGAGTCTGGTCTGCAGCCTCAGATGAATGAAGGCTTTGAACAAACCTGTGTATGTTTTCTTTTCTGTACAAGATAAGAAATGATTGTCAGTAAACTTCTTTCAAGGCAAGTCTTCAACACAGTACACATGTACAGAGGATAACTCAAATTTCAAATAAAACAGTCACCAGCCTACACACAACTGGCAGCTATACAAGATTTTGATTGCTCACAAATCCAAGAACATATCTGCCTTTTAAATCCACACTTATCTGCCTTTTAAGTCCACACTACTGAATTCTACTTACTGAAAATAAGCTGTGCACTGTGTACAAAGGTTCAAGTGCACTGGCTTCCTTGCAATACAACTAATACATTTTAATGTTTGCTTTAGACAACACCGATTTCAGAATGGATTCCCTCAGTGTAACAAATACAAAATTTTGTTTCGATGTTTTCAACGAGATGAAAGTCCATCATGTCAATGAGAACATCTTGTATTCCCCTCTGAGCATCCTTACAGCCCTGGCCATGGTCTATTTGGGGGCAAGAGGTAACACTGAATCTCAGATGAAGAAGGTGAGTTACTTACACTGGTGTAACGTGGACAGTGGACTCTAGTTCTGCTTGTTATTCCTTCTAAGTAATAACACATTATCTACTCATGAGGCTCTCACATGTTTTAATTCACCGGATGGATCATAGTCAGGGAATTGTATTATTTTTTTCTAAATTCTGACATCTTCTACGTAATCTATTTTTTCTATATTTTTTATTTTTTGTATTAAAAAGATAAAACCCTGGGAAAAAAGGAAGAGAGAGAACATTATTCGCAGTGCATAATACACAAATAAGTTAACTTACAGATGCTCACTGAAAAAAATATAATCTAAGAAATAGGGCTATTTCCAATTTCTCAGAAGGTGACATGAAGTATGCACCGGCTGCAAGCTCACTTGCAGCCTTTTAGTTCATCTAATCTAGCATTTGTTGTGGGCTTCTTTTTTTTCTGTTTCTGTTTTTGAGCCAACAGCTCTACTCCAAACATCACATGTAAATTTTAAACGTATAACATTTTTGGTCATGCTTGTGTTTTTTTCTCACTGGCATTTTCTCTTGCAGGCTCTTCATTTTGATAGCATTACAGGAGCTGGAAGCACCACTGACTCTCAGGTAAAGACATAACTTTTGTTCCTATTTTCTCCTCAGGACAAAACTAGAACTATTCTGCCTCTGTTCCAAGCAGTTTCAGACTGTCAAAAGTGATGGTAATGCTCTAAAACCAAGCAGATCTGTGGAGGGAGGAAAAGTGGGTCTAACTCATGCTGGTTGAAAGCCAGGGAAACTGACTCGGAGATAAGTTTTTTTATCTGCTTAATGCATCATCATCAACCCTGGTCTGTGGGTAAATTCCACTATGGCCTGTTATTGATGGGGACAGTCCTTTGGGTCTGATTTGGTAGATAAGGAGAAGCTAATCTGACATATCATCTTGTTTCCCTGTCATCACCTCAGTGTGGCTCTTCTGAATACATCCACAATTTGTTCAAGGACTTTCTCTCGGAAGTTACCAGGCCAAATGCTACATACTCACTCGAGATTGCTCACAAACTCTACGTTGACAAAACATTTGCAGTTCTTCCGGTGAGTTGAAGTGTGACTTAACCTTACTGAGATTGCCCACTGGGCTCGCCTGGGACTCAGCACTTCTGTGAGCCACAGTGGGAACTGGTTTGGGCCACAGAATGAGTCCAAACCTTTCTGTGGCTCTCAGGAGGAGGCCAGGCAATAGCATAAGGGCTCTGGAGATACTCAAGACCCATCTGGATGCTTTCCTGTGCAACCTCTTGTAGGGAACCCCTGCAGGGGGTTTGAATTGCTGATCTACAGAGATCCCTTCCAGCCCCTGAGATTCTGTGACTCTGCAATACATGCCCATGCAGCAATTGCTACAGGGAGCAATCAGAATTGCTGTTCATTCATTAAAAAAGGTCTTTTAATGAAAAAGGTGATTTGTAAGGGAAGAAAATGACTTGAAAGCGTGAGAACTGAAACTGACTAAAATATTTTGTTCATCTTTTTTAAAGCTACACATAAAATATCTCACTTCAAGAAAGTTCTAGTTTTGAAATAAAAAATAGGAATGTAAGAATACAGAATTCAAAAGAAAAGGTGGGCATGAAGATGAGGAAATGAGTATTATCTGTCTTCAATAATGTTTGCCGAACAGAAGGTTTTATGGTAAAATGAAGAAACTATTTCAAAATTTTAACTTGGAATCCTGTTTGAAGACAAAAGTGACAAATCTAAATATGTGAAGTGTCCTTGTCCAGCTTTAAGATTCAGTTACAGCAAGAGAGCTGTTTGACTTGTTCAAGAGTAGGGATAGAAGTTTCTTTTAACCGTCATTCTCCATTTCATTAATTTTGCATTTCACGTTCTTCTATTTTAAAGTTCTTAACAGTCAAACACAATTCGTCTGCTTACAGGAATACTTAAATTGTGCGAGGAAGTTCTACACAGGAGGAGTGGAAGAAGTTAACTTCAGAACAGCTGCTGAAGAAGCAAGGCAGCTCATAAACTCCTGGGTGGAAACAGAGACAAATGGTAAGAACTAAAAAATAACTGACATTTATTCCTATCGACCATAATCTATACCTTTGTCTTCCTCTCTTAAAAATACCTAGAAAAGGCAGACCAAGGAACAGCACTTGATTATTGCCGTGAAAGCAATCTCCCACAGAACTCACCATGCCCTCCATTGCAGACATTCATGCAAACCAGACAGGCTATGCCTAATCGCTCACTGCTTTGCTTCCTTTTCACAGGACAGATCAAAGATTTGCTTGTATCAAGCTCCATTGATTTTGGTACAATGATGGTCTTTATTAACACCGTTTACTTCAAAGGGATATGGAAGACAGCATTTAATACAGAAGACACTCAGGAAATGCCCTTCAGAATGACAAAGGTAGGGACATGGGCACCGCAAGTGGGAAATTTCAAGAAAAACTGCTCCCTGCTCACATTGTCTCATGCTTCTGTTTCGCAGCAAGAAAGCAAACCTGTGCAAATGATGTGTCTGAACAATACCTTTAATGTGGCCACACTGCCTGCAGAGAAAATGAGGATCCTGGAGCTCCCATACGCCAGCGGAGAGCTGAGCATGTTGGTGCTGTTGCCTGATGAGGTTTCTGGCCTGGAGCGGGTACGGCCCTGGTGGGGGAAGGCCACTAGTTCTGAGCTGAATGGGAGCTGGCTGCCTTCAGACCTTAGGCTGTCCTCTCACCCCCTGGCTGTGCTGTGCTGCCCAGGCAGGAGAGCACAACAGTGGCCCAGGTGCTTCCAGGTGCTCAGGCAGAGGTTGGCCTCTAAGGAGAGCCTTGGCCTCGATGTTATTAAATAAAGAGTGTAGCTAACAAAAAACAAAGGGCTGCTGCAGTCCTGCAGGAGGGGATGTTGATATATGCAGTTATCTCCATCAGGTACTAGAGACAGATATGTTAGCAGGATTTTTTTTTTCCTTTGAAGACATTTCAATTTCCATAGATCAAGTAATGTTCACACACTATTATCAAGTCACAGGGACCAATTATTCTGTTGATGACCATTAATAGATTTTTTTCACAAGAGTCACCCCTACAAATAATTAAATTCAATTTTTTTTTTTTTTTTTTGTAAATGCGAAGGATATTTTAAAAGATCTTTTCTCATTGAATTAGAAAAAATAGGAAAAATATAACAAGTACAGAAAACAAACAGCATTTCTGAAAAGTTAGCTGCAAACATCTGCAGATATCTGCAAATGAGCACAAATTTGATTTGACATCATCAAAACCTGATTTTTCAGAAGGGCATCTGATCTGTTGGAAAAATTTTCAGATGACAAAGTTTTGGAGAACTTCATCAAGACAGATGATATGTAGGCTATAGTCAGGAGGAAGCATAAAGGATAAACAAATAGATTTACGCTTGTGTCACTTCTGTTGTGCACACAAATAAATGAAAAAAATAGTAACAAGTGGTATTAATACACTTGTTATGGCCACTGTGTTCTTGCCTTCTGTATTTCATTCTTTCCCTCTCTTTGCAGATTGAGAAAACAATTAACTTTGAAAAACTCAGAGAGTGGACTAGTACCAATGCAATGGAAAAGAAGAGCATGAAAGTGTACCTGCCCCGCATGAAGATTGAGGAAAAATATAACCTCACATCTATATTAATGGCCTTGGGAATGACTGACCTGTTCAGCCGTTCAGCCAACCTGACTGGCATCTCTTCAGTAGATAACCTGATGATCTCTGATGCTGTCCATGGGGCGTTCATGGAAGTCAATGAAGAGGGCACTGAGGCGGCAGGTGCAACAGGGGCAATTGGAAACATCAAGCATTCCCTTGAGTTAGAAGAGTTCAGGGCTGACCACCCATTCCTCTTCTTGATCAGATTCAACCCAACCAATGTTATTCTATTCTTTGGTAGATATTGGTCTCCCTAACGAGAGAAAGAGCCGAAATAATGCTTACCTTCCCCTCAGAAATCAAACCTCTTTACTGTAGTATTGTAACATAATTTCAATGCAATATTTTATCCAAGTGGAAAGCCTTCAATATCTAGGGAGATATTCTTAAAGAAGCATGTGAAATTTTAGATCTTTATGTGCAGGAATTTATTCTCAGCTTACATTCAGGATTCATATCTAAGGTGTATATGTTTCCAATATACTTGAATAACTTGGGAAACAAGGCCAGTGCTTTGTTTTTTTTTGTGTGTGTGTGAAGTCCTGCCATTGTTATTGAGAATGTGGTTTCTCTATAGGAGTTCTCTGAAATGAACACAGCTTTCAGGAAAACCCTGGTCCTTTCCATTGAATTGGCTGGGCAATCATTCTTGGCAATCATCCTTGTCATGCCTGGACAATTTGCAGATGAAATTTTTAACTTCAGCAGACCATTTGTCTTATTTGGATTTATTTGTGCTGCAAATACTTTAAGGCTGTGTAACTTTTTTTCTGAGGGAGCATACAGAAAGTCTACCATTTCTTCTTAAATCATCTCCAAACAAAACATCTTCCTGATTGATATTATTTCCCGTTTTCATCCCAGTGATATATCACTGATTTTGTGAATGCTAATTAATGGTCTTTCTATTTATTCTAATAAAAGCTTCGCAAACAAAACATGTCATTATCTATTCTGGGTTATTGTACTACACAACCTGAAAAATATGATATAGTGGGTAATAATTATTGACAGAAGTGATTAAGCTGGAAAATGGATTCTATTTTCACAACCAGAATGTACCCATACATGAGGTCACTAAATATTTTAAGACTTTTTTTGTAACTGGGTTTAATCAAGGTTAAACCCTATAGCTCCTATTCTTAAATTGAGCTTCTCACAATACAGCATATCAAATAACAAAATTCTTTGAATTTACTATATTTGCAGAGAACTTTTACAGAAATCCTCTAAGGGTCCTCAGTAAATACATCAATGTGATGCACATAAGATAGAACTTTAAAAATATGAGAGAAGTATTAAAAGGCAGACTGCTTCAGCTTTCCCATGCTGACAAGAATCACATGAAGAAATCTTTCTATTGCCTAATGTGACACTCCTCTAGAGACGTTATCTGCTATTTCACAGTCTTTAGAGGAAAGGCTCTTTAGGTTATATTTTATCCAATTATAATGGTTACCGGTGTTAATAACAGAGTTTTTTGCTGGGATACACACGCAGAATTGCAAATTACAGTATTAATACTAAAAAAATACTGATACTTCAGTACTTCAGAGCTGCCTCAAACACGTGCCATGTCAGCACTAACTATAACTCGAAATGATGACGTTAGCAGCAGTGAAACACGTTTCATACCCATTACAAATGGGAGAAATGCGATTACTGGTCTTCTCAAGAGGGTCAGAAAGGGTTAGCTACAGTTTGCATTGTAGGATTCAAGCAAAAAAGAAGTATTTCAAGAACTATGAAATTTCAAGTTTTTGACAAGCAGTCAATAAAGTTTTGCTACAACTAAAACCAAACAAACCAACAAATGGCAAAGGAAAAAAGGCAGGACTGGTAAAATACTGTCCTGAGCAGCAGTATAAGGTTACTAAGCAGTTACATGGAACTGAAATACACAGGTATGTCACTCCGCACTTTCTAAGTACAATAACAGTAAAAGTATCCACATTTGCTATGGAGGTATTTAATACATAGAGTGAACTAAAAAAAGCAGCTATCCAATTGCTTGATCTTTTCAAAGCAAAAGATGAAGAAAATCAAGGCAGAAATGATGAATTCCCAAAACTATACACAAGAGGGTATCCAAGGCACAGAGTCCACCTAATGTCTTAACTGGGAAATGGAAGCATTTGACTTGTTTTAAAAAGACCATTAAGTGTCACTAAGGATAAAAAATGATGCTTATCGACTTTCAGAAAGAGGAGGGCACTACAAAGGTACCTCTGAGCTCTAAAGCCCAGCATGGGATAAGAGAAATGAATCCCAAGTCCAGGTATTGTCCAGTAGACCTTTTTGTTCCCTGATACCATGACTGAAGTTGTTATGTGAAGACATTGCCTTCTGTCTCTTCACTTCACCTCATATCGTCTCAGTACTGTGTGCTTAGAGATGCAGCGCTTCTAGTGCTCCATGGAATGAAAACAGCCAGGTGCAATCACACTCTTTTGAATGCCTCATGAGAAATGCTCTCTAAACTAAGTGTACCTTTCCTTCTCACATCATCTGTAGAAGGAACCATCACAGAATCATTTGGAGACCATCTGAGTCTATTCTACACTTCTCTGCACGTTTGGCTATCTTCTTCTAAGTAAACCAAATCTATGGCTGAAGTTACAAGACTCCACATGTGGTGTCATAGTCACCAGAGGAAGAGCAGTCAAGAGAATATCCTGGTTCAGAGCTACTCTGGGCTCTCAAAAGTTACCTGGAAAAGCACAGCATGTTGAACTAGACTTTGGTGTATTTTTTCCAACCTTTATGATTCTATGAAATATTGATTGGATGTGGAGCAGTTTATTTGCTGTTTCCTGTGGCTCATGATCTAAGATTCTTCAGTCTGGAAAATAAACTGCAAAGATGACTGTTGAGGAGCAGCAAGTGTCAGTCTGCTCAGCAAGGGAAGGAGACCGAGGGCCACAAGTGACAGTAGGGCTAGAAGGGCCCGATAAGGGATTAAGTGCTACATTTCCCAATACTATAGCCATAGATCAGTGATTCCCAACCAAATATGTAGCGGTGAGGTAGGCCAAAGATCAAACCAGAAGGTTAAACCCACGTATACGGCCCCAGAATGGCAACAGGTGATGATGCCCCTGGCACATTCTTTATCTTGAAGAAAAACAGCATGGATCCATATAAACACATTCTTGCTCAACAGTAGAGATAATCAATAGTGTTGCTTACTTCTATGAATGTCCTGGCGAAACATGTAGACCACAATGCCAGTGAGCCTCTGTATGGATGGGATCTGTGCAATCTGCCATGACTAAAGCTCTGTCCAAAATTACACAACTTAGGGTGTTCAGCTTCTGATGGGATGTGAAATTATCTGTGCTATATCCTTTTCCCTTCTTGTGTCAGCTCCAGTAAACTGTATTTTAACCAATACCTTACAGTTTCTGAGTGTCTTCTTTACTGTATCCAAAGGTTATCTTATGCATTAAAGGGTCCTCCAGTACAATGAGATTCTTGGCCTGATGCAGGCAAGCAAAGTACCTTGGGCAAGGGTCACAATCAAGATACTTAGTTTAATGCTTCTCCCAACTGATGGGATGCTAAAATCTTACATGATTTTAAAAGGAAACTGCACAAAACTGTGGAAGAGATATCCACTGACAAATAATAAATACATAGAAAATAAAATCAGCTATAGAAGTCATGAAAAAGGAAATAGTGTTAGAACTCTGAGGGCAAGAGTAAGCCCTAATAGGGGCTTAATAGCCTTAATAGCAATGACAAGCCTCACTGGAGGAGCTCTCCCATATATGTTGTTCTCATGGGCCCAGGAATCTGTACTGGAAATTGGCACAGTTTGGGTATCAGGGGTGATCTTTGATAGACAAAGCCCTGAACTGTCCTGGGTCAGCTGCAGGTGTCTCTATAATGGATGAAAACAACTCACTGTGCACCAGATTTAATTAGAAAATGTAGCAGCACTGCAGTGTAGCAAATGCAATTAAGAAAAGGTGGTATCTGCTAGGGACAGAGGACATGCAAGTAGACCCAAAAAATAAAAACTTTAGAAACACAAAAAGGGGACATATGAGAGGTATATTTGGAGAAACAAAATAGAAGAGATATTTGGAAGTAGATGTTGGGAGCACAGACAAAGACACACTCCTGGGAGGAGGTGCTCCATGCCAGAGGACATATGTTTAAGGCACTGCAGCCATGGGCAACCAACACAGGCCAGAGTCACCCTGGTAGGACTGCATTCTGCAGGAAGCTAACACTGGAGTAGGGACAGCCCTGAAGAACTGCAGCCCAGAGAGCACACTAGAGCAGAGGAATCTAGTAAGCAGCAACCACTGGCAGACAGAAACGTTTAGATAGATTATATACCGACCCCAGGCTATTACACTGCCTACTGCATCACTGAAAGGACTGGGAAGAAGAGAGTGCAAAAATGAAACTGAAACTAGGAGGAAGGGGATGAGAAGCAATGAACTGAAGCTGGGGAAAAGGGGGATTAAAGATTTAAGTGTCTATTCCACAGTTTGCTGCATTGCTTTTTGTCAATTCCTGAATCAGCAGTTTTTACGTTAATCAGCAACAAATTACGTAACACTCCCCAAGTCAAGACTGTTACCTACAACAGAAGCTCAGTTCAGCTGAACCTTAGTCTTTTGGTCCCTCCTTAAGGAATGCTGTATGTGTGTCTCTCTTCAGGCCCACTCACAACTGACCTCAGACCCAAAGTTCTACTGAATCTCCAGTACCACCTCTTTTGCCCCTAAGTAGATAACAAAGCTCTGAGTGCTTTGCTTTAAGTGCCATTACCAACCGCATCTGGAGCCTTTACCCACCCCTATGCACCCAGGTCCTCTATTTATGCTCTGAACCTTCACTTCTTTCCTATGCTATGTTAGATGTACTAGCATGGTGTGTACTAGTCTCCAGTTCAAACACAGCTGTGTCCATACCTGGCCAAGGACTCCTACTGTGACCTGAGCTGTGCCCTGCTGCTAAGGACCTGCTGGGTGATTGCTAGACTGGAACCTAATCTTGACCTAAGAAATGATTTCTTGGCTTGACTATGGACGTGCCCTGTGATATGATACTGCCTTGCGATTTGGACTCTTGTTTGCGGCTGTGCAAGGACCCCAGTCTCTGGCCACCCAGAACCTTGTCACTACCGAACTTCCTGAGGGACTGGCCTTGCTCTGGGTTCTGATCTCTGGACAGTACTCACCCTTCATTCAGCCCAGGCTCCTGATTAAACCCCTTTCTACCCTGCCAGGCTCTCCTCTGC